AAAACATTGTTTAATTTATATTAATATGTATCACTTAAAAAATTTTAATGAAGATATTTATCTTAATTATGAAAATATACTAGCATGTTTTTTAATTTTTGGAACCTAACCCTCCTTTTCGTATTAGTTCTTTGTTTCGTATAACACGGATTCGCATAACATGGCAATTTTTTGGAACGTAACTACCGTGTTATACGGGGGTTACCTGTATGTACTGTATGTACATGAATTCATAAATTTAGATTACTTTTTTCTGTACTATATTAAAAACTAAAATTTATTTGTTTGTAAGCATAAAATAGATTCTTATTAACCATATATTATTAAAAAATGCATTTATAAATAAAATACAGAACTGGGAACCTAGTGATTTGTGGTTTAACCTAGTGATAAGTAAATTTGGAGACAAGTAAATTCGACTTACGTCGTGTTTTGACTTAAGTCGCCTCTCCTGGAACCAATTACTGACGTAAGGCGAGGTATACCTGTATTTGTTCCAGTGTCCCCAGAAACTGTTCTTCTGGCATACGTGGCATCGAATAAAATTAACACATCCGACAATGACCATCTGCAAGAAAGACGCCACTCGTGCCCAACAGGCCAGCAAGGATGTCAAAAGAGAAAGAATAACACTCAGACGCTCACGGAGCCTTAAAGGAAGAAAATATCAAAATGTATTAACTGCTGATGAAAACTTGAAATTGTCCTTTCATTTTATCAAGTAATTCAAGTGAAATTTCTTATCATGTACTAAGTTGTGCGCGAAATCCCACTGTTTATTTATCTGTCCATCTGACTGCAGTATCACCTAACAATACAATAGTAGTAGTGTAAACTTTGGAGGTAAATTACTCGCGACGGGTTGCACGTGCAGATGTGGTTCCTTTTGACTTCGCTCGTATGGGAGGTCTGCAATTTGGGGGTTGCAAATTCTTCATTCAGAGCTGCAATCTTACCAATTTACATACCTGATTTTCCATATAGCCAATCGTTCGGTAGCCCAACATTGTTGTTCTAAATCTTTCGAATATAACCATTCCGAAACCTTCACCCATTCCTCTCTGAAATTATATATTTACAAAATATCAATCTAAAATAGTTTAGAATGGAATTCCCGATAAAAAGTATTTTACATATTCATCCACGGAGTTAGGATTTCGTTCATTTTGATCTCAAAACTGTCAATACGCACTTATCCCACGTGTTTACGACTGTAATATAATTTCTCGAATAGCCGTCGTAAGACGCCAAAATCGGTGTCGCTCGCCCCCCAAAAAAAAATCTTTTTTTAATGTGAGAATTGAGCATTTCTTTTAAGAAATATTTTTAAATAAAATTATTTTTATTCTTGATAAATAAACAGAAATCATCTGCGAAGAGTTTCTTTAGAATCCATTTTTAAAACTCTTTCCGCCCTGTGGACACGTTTTTAGCAGACCCATTATGGGTTCGGCCAGGCGGCGAAGGACGGAAGTCGACATATTCGGTCGAACAACCCCAAAAAATTCGTGGGAATTTTTCGACCTGTCCGGATTCGATTTCAGGTTTCCCAGAACGAATGGTCGCGTTCGACCATCCGGCCATCTACTGCCTTGTGGGTACTAAGATGACCTCTTTTTTTTTTTTTAGCAAAACCTGTAAAGTACTTGTAACGTTCGGTGTTGTAGGCTCTACAGTTCCAGACGTGGGTTTGGCTAGGCCCACATTGCAGCGGCCGGGGGCGAGGATTTGGTCCCGAAACATCTGGGAAGGACCATCTCCAAAAAAATTCTGGAGCATTTCTATCTTCACAAGATGGCGGCTTAACGGCTTAAAGTATTGTATAGCTGTGTTTATATTATAAAAGAATAGTAAACTGTTTATTTAATGGACAAAATAATCTGATCTACAGGAAATTTTTTAACCTTTCACTGTGACAAATTCCTCCATGCAGCGTCATAGCTAAATAAAATTAAATTATTTGCATCAAGTACGGTTACTCCTTCAATAAAACATCACATAATTGACCCCCTCGTCGGCAAAATTTAAAATTTAAAAATGAAAATATAATGATGATCATTTTCTTGATACTCTTTCAAGATTCCCTTTTGTCCTGTCACTAAGCATGTGTACTCGTCGCGACGACCGATCGCATGTTGTAGATCGAACTATTATTGAATGAAAAAAATTAAAACTAGCTGCAACTAGCTGCAATTGTGTCATTGGTGCAAGTTCCTGCAATGTAAAACATAGTTTTCTGAATTTTGTACATTAATGACGCGGAATGTTTCGCTCTTTTTCTTGAATTTGTCTGGTGTTTTGAATATTGTTTGCATGTAGCATATAAGCTTGAAATCAAACTGTAGCAAGCGCATAGTGATAAAGAAAATAAAGAAATAAGATTCTGAAAAACGAATATACAGAAGGGTTTCCGTATAGAATTGGGTCTAATAGTCGATCAACCAAAGCCTGTTTTCGGTAGCTCAAATGATGAGAATACCGCTCGACAATTTTTCGAAAACTCAAGCATTTCTGCTGCTATTACAGGGGTTGATGAGGACTCGATTAAGCGTTTCCATGTCATATTGCAGACAATTTCGTGTGGCCATGAAATCGATTTCATAGAATTTCAAGATTATGCCTTACAGACAGCTCGTTACTTTGTGCAGTTATATCCGTGGTTCTGCATGCCAACTTCGGCACATAAGATATTGATTCATGGTGCAGAAGTGATAAATTCATCGGTATTGCCGATAGGGCAGATGTCTGAAGACGCTCAAGAGTCTACTAATAAATACATTAAAAAGTTTCGAGAAGATTTTGCAAGAAAAGTTCCCGAGTGAAAACAGTGGAAGACATTATTTTACGCCTATTATTAATATCCGATCCGTTTATTTCGAGTTTGTGCGAATTACCTCGAAAAAACTCAAAGTCATTGCTTCCAGAAGCAGTTTTATTGTTAGTTGCGCCACGTATACCAGCAAGTACAGGAAGCTCCAGCGATTTCAAAGTTGAATCATCTGATTGTGAATCAAATTATTCTTTGGATGACGATGCATGAACTTTTAATCAACTGATTGTATGTTTTATCGTATTAAACAATATATGGATTTATTTTGTACTTTTTCTATAAAAGTGGTTCGTGTTAAATCCGTCATTTTGTTTTTATTTCAAATTTTGACTTCGGATTCGTAATCAGCGATCCCGAAAACCTTCGAATACTGACTTTCAGCCAAATTGATAACGCTTTTGACTTTGGGATTCGGCCCCACTGTGCGTCGCAGCTGCCTAGTAATAGATAAAACTGCTATACTTGTTTCAATCATAGCTGTAGGTCGAACTTTGTTGTAATCGGACAGTTGTATCTGGGTGCGTAACTTTTTGTCAGTGAGCGCAAATTAGAATTTATTGGTACTGTAATGAATTATTCTTTGGATCTCTTTGTGAGTACCAACGAGCTAGAATATACTAGAGTGGCTGTGACCATGGTTACAGCCCTGTTAGTGGCAACGACGGGTACTACCAACGAGTTAGAATATTCTAGCTCGTTGCCTTTACACAACACAAATGCCACGTCTTCCTGACTAAAAAGAAGATGGTGGACGCATATTTAATTTTCCTCAAACACGGCGTCACTTCAGCCACTCTATGTAATATATTCTAGCTGGTTTGCGAGTACAAATATTTAAACTAGCGACACCAAGTTATAAATTAGTAAACCTGCCGATTATAAAGTGGTACCTAATTAATTAATAACATTTCGTTCGTACAAAAACTATTGCAAACTTTTTAAAATAAACCATTCTAAGATAATAAATAAAAGTACAAGATATATATATTTTTTAACCTGACAATATGTAGTCAGTCATACAATGCAAGAACAAACAGTAGTATTTTTTGGGTGTTCTCCAAATTTTAAATCACGCAATCATTGTACAATGTCCGTTCTAGGTCCTTCTTTTTTATAAAAGAAAGTTGACAGCGTTAACTACACTAATGATTGCTTATTTTATTTTATTTTTTTCACAATCCATTTCATATCAATGGGAAAAACAAGCGGAAAGAAGATAAACGCAGTTAAAAGTAATTATTTGCCGCCTCCAATACTATAATTAGTAGTTTTCTAAAATGACACTAGAGTGCGGGTCATTCGTTTTCATTCCGTACATAACATGCGCCACAAGTGTCAATAATTATTAATACTGTATAACAATTTAAAAAATGATTTTACAATAGAGAAATAAAACGATTTTATTAATAAAATTAAAGTTGAAATATTACCAAATATATAAATAAATTAATTAAAAATAATAATATTTAAAAGTTTAGTTTACTAAAGATGGCGGTAGTATCGGGATCGAGGATATATATACATTTCAAAATGTCTGATGCAGAAGCGTCCCAGGAGGCGCCAAATCAAAACAAGAAACTGAAAATGACGACTCAGAACTCCGATCATTCTACTCACAGTCATACGGAGGATTCGGGAGACGAAGTTGTAAGCATAAATAATGATTATATAATTTAGAAAAATGATATTTCTTCCATTTAAAATAGTCGTGTTTATATTATATATGTAGCGAGGTTAATACTCTTTTACCACGTGTTTGTGAAATTGACAAATTTTTTGATTCTCGCCAATTGGAGGACGGAGTCGATCAGTTTCGAGACAAAACAACTCAATTCTTTGTTTAATTTGACCGAAAAAGAAAAGATTAAGACGAAAGTAATCGATAATTTTGTAAAATGATTTGTTTTTTTTTTTTTGAGATAAAAAAATCAATAATCTCCCTTTTCCAGTCATTTACTTGCAGTTTCATCAATGGATTACCATTACTTTTCTTTTATTTATTTTGAAGTTTCTAAGTGATAATTTTGTGTTTATTTCATATTCTAGACGATTATTTTCTCCACTAGACTGAGAGAAGCATGTTTTTAAATCATTACTTTCAGACATAAAGTGTAGTAATATTCATGAATGCCATAAATGCAGGTCTGGAAAAAAGGGGGGGGTTATTTGGTTGGACTTTGGACACAAATTATGTGAGAAAGTGGTGAAAAGTCTGTTTTTTACTTGTGTTGTTAACCTTATTCGTATGTTTTTATGGCTTTTGGAGAAGGGTGGGGCTCCGTCTTGTCTTTCTCGTCGACTAAATATAAATATAAAATATCAATTGAGCCGGAAGTCCGCTGGTCTAAAATTGACAATTTAGATCTTGTAAATAGATGCGAAATGTTACTACTTCCGGTAACACTTCTTGTTAATTGTAAAGTTAGGTAGCGTAGTCGATTTAGAGTTTTAGTTAATTCCCTTGTTGATAATTTCTAAAACATGAATAAAAACTAATTCGTTGGAAGTTACCTTATTCCGTCTTTTACATTTAGCAATGTAAGATTAGCGTATTAAAACTTCTTTCTGTACTTTCGTACAACAGTGTATTAAAAAATATATAATTAAAGAAAGTAATAAAGGCATCGAAGTGAGAAAAATTAACTGAATATGAAACAAGATTGTAATTTTTTGGTCGAAACAATATTATGTAGTGGATTTGCACTGCTTCAAGAGAAGTATGATTTGATAATCACTGTTAAAATATATATTGCCTATTTAAATAAAGTGCACCAAATGTACCAACAAACTGGCAAAACTATAAATTCTTTACTTAAATGTTTTCTTCCATATACAATGGTTTTTATATTAACTACCATTATATCCAGTTTGGTATTGTATTAATAAATATTACTTATTATATAAATTGTAATTGGCGTATTTTGTATTCATAAACATTGTAGTTATTGCCGTAAAGTGCTTCTAATGTTATTGTAATAGACTTGTATTAGTAATAACTTCAAAATTTTTTATGTCAGTTATATTGCTGAATTGTCAAAATTGATAAAACTGGATGAAGGATGATGTAGAAACTTTGCATAAATATTCAATATTTGTTGACACTTGTTGAATTGAGTGAACTTGAATCAATTTTCCATAAATCAGTTATTCAAGTACAGTAAAATCTCAATGTAGTGTCTTCCTAAATAGTAGCATACTCAAAATTATTAATAAATACTCAGATCTTTCTCATAAATATTAAATAGAAAACTTTTAATATTTATAATGTATTATTTTGCATTGTAGATGATACTTTATCACCAAATCACAATTTTTAAGCTCCAGACTCAAATTTGTATGTGTACAATTTTTGTTTAAGATACTTTAGCGTAGCACCACACTCTGTTTAGTGATGATTTTTCTGTTGAAGATGATACAAAAATGCTGTATAGATATGATTTTTAAAATATTTATATCTTTTTTTAGGACGAAACTTCCAGCATTGGAAGTGCATCTACTGCCGACAACACTTCCAGAAGCGACACTCCGACCAACAGAGGAAGGAGAAGAGGGCGGGGACGATGGAAATATAAACACAGTAAACTTGCATATAAGTGTTCCATGTGGGTAAAGGTTAGTTAACAAAATATCAAAAGAATATTTTAAAATTTCTGACATTCTTTTAGAATTTAGGATTTCTCATCAGAGTATGTAGGATTCTGTATTCATTATCTCTCTTCCTTTTATTGGGAGAGATAAGGCTCAAATCTGATCTAAATTTTCATAAGTTTTCATGAATGGTTTGAAATATCACTTTCAATTCTTCACCTAATGCGTGCCAATTCTTTCACAATGAATAACATGGAGGCCTCTTATAGCTATATACGTGTTGGTACCTTACATCAACAAATCTAGTCCCATCATTTAATCATAGTTATATTCAGAACAGTATCTTTTAGTTAGTTTCTGACAAAGCATTTCAGAAGTTTGAAAATATTAAAATATCTGAAGGATCAACTCAGAGCAGCTGAAATCTGCTGTCTGTTTCTTTGACAGGTGGTAGTTGTTTTCTAAATGTTCCAAGTCAAACTATTTTTCAAATATTAATTTAAATTAACATATAACAGTGCACACTATTGTGCCGACTAAGAGATAGCATTATATATACAGAGAAAATAATTTAATTAGCCAGATCACTGAGGTTGCTAAGACATCAGCCTGATGCCCAGATTTGAAATTCAGAAATTTTGAGTCCCTTTGCCAAATCTGTCTACATCTGGTTGTCCTGCTGTATCGATTAGGTTGACCAAATTGTCAACCTAAAGATACAGTGATAGGCTCTTCTTGTTTAGAATTCTTGGATACCTCCAGCCATAATGTCACACTTCCACACTTCATTCATGCATTTATCAGTTTAATTCTTGCCAGGTAAAGTCAATATTGCCTATGGCATCCATGATGTTATATTTTTTCCAAAATTGCACCACATGAACATACATTTAAGGAAAGTACAGCGCTACGACAAATTGCCACCTTTTACTGATTGGTTTGTGTTTGGGGATAATCATATTATATACGAATCAATAAAATGCTGCGATAATTTGAATCGGCATAAATATTGAGCTTTTTTTAAGGCTTCAAGCAGACCGCGTTATATTGAATCAGCATTAATTGGGGTAGCATTAAGCAGGGTCTTACTGTATCATTTTTCAGCTAACAAAACATTTTTGAACTATAGTTAGTTAGTACAGTAATACCTCGACTTACGCTACCCTGACTTACGTGAACCCAGGATTATGCGATTTTCAAATCTCGTCAATTTGTCTTTTCTTTGAGTGCCATGCAACTCTTGATTACTCACTCCCCCCACACTATTGTTCAGCTTACATGTTCAGACATGTCATGCGGAATTGTTGCATAGCTACAATTTATTTTGTGTTATTTATTTCTGTGTTTGTTATATCTACGGAGACTTGAGAGACTCTATGTGGTGATTTCTTGTAACCGTGAATGAATCAAAAGACGAGATAAGATTAATGAGAACATTTATTAGCTTACTTACATTCGACTTGGATTTTACACAAATTGTGAAATTATACCCCGACTTATGCGATTATCGCTCGGTCCCACCTACAACGTAAGTTTGGGGTATTACTGTATAACGTGTAAATAAACACCAAAAATCAAGCAAAAGAAATATAAAATTTAACAAAAAACTAATGTTTTTGATGGCTTCTATCAATCATCAGGTTCCAACTGTTCTAAAAACAAACATACCAATTGAATAACAATTTTTATCAACAAAAATGATAGCTCAAAAGTTTTTAAATTAATCTGAAAAAATTTTAGAGCTATCATTATTTCCAGTTTTATTTTTAATAATTTTTCATTTATTATTATATATTTACTTACTTTTTAAAACTGATCATCGCATTATTCTTGAGTCTGTTTAAGAAAAATAGAATACTCTGTGCCAATTCCTCTTCTAATTCTGTTCTTCAGCTTATGCAGGTGCATCAGTTAATGACACACCATAGACACAGTGGAGGTTCTGTAAGATTATAATTGAATTGGAAAATTCATATCCTTTATCTTTTCTATGTCTTAGATAAATGGATATTTATTGTGTTGCATATGGCTTATATGAATAGATAATACCAAATAAAGTTTGTCTAATGGCTTGTAAGCATAATCTATGATGTTCACATAACAACAAAGTCACTTAAGAACTTATCTCCATAGTTAAGTGGTACATGCCTGTACTCTGCAATTTCAATAAGAAAATAACTATAAAAATCTTTTATAACAGGAAGACCATGGTCAACCTTTATTTGGTGTCCAGTTTAATCCACATTTAAAAGATGGTCACAACATTTTTGCCACTGTTGGAAGTAATAGAGTAAGATATTGGACAGTTTAATTTTAATTTTTACAATTTATAAATTATTTCTAAAAAACTGTTTAAATTTAAAATTTATTTTTGTAGATAACAATATATGAATGTTTAGAAGGTGGGGGAATTAAATTATTGCAAGCGTATGCCGATCCTGATGTATCCTTAACCTTTTATTTGTAGTATTTTTAATAATTTTATCTTAAACCTTGACTTATTCGAAGCCAGACGAAAACTTTTATACATGTGCATGGTCTTACGATGATGTTACCGGCTATCCTTTACTGGCAGCTGCTGGAACTAGAGGCGTTATACGTATTTTGAGTCCTGCGGTTATGCAGTGTATCAAGGTCAGAATTAAAATGTTTTTATAGAAGATTTGTATTTAAATATAAGTTAAGTATTAATGAATAGTGATTTTTTTTTTTTATTTTACAGCACTATATTGGACATGGTAATGCTATTAACGAATTGAAATTTCATCCTCTTGATTGTAATCTGTTGCTTTCAGTGAGTAAAGGTAATTATCAAATTAGTGAAATAAACAAATTCAATTTTATTTTTTGGTTATTGATGTAAACAGATTTAATTACGTGCAGATCATGCGCTTAGACTTTGGAATATAAAAACCGACCAATGCATAGCGATATTTGCGGGAGTAGAAGGTCATCGAGATGAGGTTTTAAGTGCTGTAAGTATTGTGATAAATACTTTCTAATAAATCAGAGAACAACAACAACGTTGTAAATTATTAAAATATTCTTTTTTGATTAATAAAATGAATTATTATTTTATTTAAATGTTTATCTATACTAATATTATAAAGAGGTAATGTTTGTATGTAAGTAAGTTTGGATGCAGCAGGTAATCTCCAAAACTACTCATCCGATTTCGAAAATTTTTTCACCAATATTTAGAATGGAACTTCAGGGTGGACATAGGCTGTATATTATTCCGTTAAACATAGGGGATGGACAGTTCTTTACAGTAAGCCTTACGGGGAAGGCTTACTGTGAAGAACTTCACTTCTATTATACTATTTTAGATGCGGTTTTTTGCATTTTTGATTGCATTTTAATAGGGTACGTCAACAGAATGTACACTAAGAAGGGATTTTTCGATATTCCCCCGGGGGGAGAGGGACAGGATTAAGGCTTACTGTGAAGAACTTCACTTCTATTATACTATTTTAGATGCGATTTTTTGCGTTTTTGATTTCATTTTAATAGAGTACGTCAACACAATGTATACTAAGAAGGGATTTTTTGATATTTTCCCCGCGGGGGAGAAGGACAAGATTAAGGTTTACTGTGAAAAACTTGGCTTCTATTATACTATTTTAGATGCGGGTTTTTGCGCTTTTGATTGCGTTTTAATAGGGTACGTCAAGAGAATGTACACTAAGAAAAAATTTTTCGAAAAATTTCCCCCACGAGGGAAGTGTTATACATTTATAATAGATACATTTTGAGCCACAACAAGGCGTGGCGGGGTCTGCTAGTCTTTATTATAAATTACTATTGAGTTTGTCTAATATTTCTACATACGAAACTATGTAGCAATACAAATTTATTACAAAGAGGCAACCTTTTGAGCAGTTAAACTATATTCAAACGAATAATTTTCATTGGTGAATGACCATCTTGAGGTTCCAAAGATTGAACTAATATGAAATACAAATTCTAGAATACAAGTGCTTGCATTTACAACAGTGCAGCTGCAAGCCTTTTATTTCTAACTCTCATCTTATGGGCACTAAGAGGGCCTATTTATGCCAGGTCACAGTGGGGTGACAAGGTACTCAATGTACCCAGACAGATCTTTTTCAGATCTGGGGTTTTTGACAAATTCAATCCCAGGTTCCCAGAGCAGTAGGATTTTATGCTGTTCCATAGTAAGTATTGCAGATCAATTTAGAAGGAATTTCTTTAAAGAGTTCTGTTCTTTAGTGACATTTCAGTTCATGAGTTTTAGACACACATGTTGAGAATTTCTTTCTTTCTTTTTTTTTTTTATTGTTGACCAATGTATAATATAGCTTTTTTTTTTTTTCTAGGATTTTGATTTACTTGGAGAGAAAATAGTATCGTGTGGAATGGACCACTCTCTAAAAATTTGGCAATTAAAAAAGGAAAAATTAGATACAGCAATTCAAGATTCTTATACATATAATCCTAGCAAAACTAACAAGTATGTTGATTAGAATTTAATCTCTTAACTGTGTGGGGGGGATAAGTAGTAAAGTCCTTTTATACTGTTAAATGCAGATAGCTACAGTTACAAATGTGATTTAGAACATAGTCACTTTACTATAGCTGTACAAGGTGATATCACTTGCACTTCCCGTAGCGTTAAAATTTGGAAGTTAGTATATCTGTCGTGAAAACAGTACACAATATGGAAAAATGCCAATTACAAGTTGTACAGCACAACTGATTGCATACGAAAGAACACACTTATATTCTCTGTACACAAACGGTATGAATAGAAAGCATGAAATGTTAATGTACACATCAAACACACAGTAAAAATGTGTTTCTTTTGTGTGTTGATTCATGTTTCTTATTCATTTCTCATGCATTTTATGTTGTGTATTTCTCATTTTTCTATGTCTTAATGCTGAATTCATTATTGTGTTATGTTGTATTGCTCACGTGTCCATGTATAAGGACTTTACTATGCACCCTTGTATAACCTATTTATATTTATGCTTTAAAGTTTTTAATTTTTGAATATATTTTATAGACCTTTTGATACCGTAAAGCACCATTTTCCTGATTTTACTACTCGTGACATTCACCGCAATTATGTAGACTGTGTGCGTTGGCTGGGAAATTTTGTATTGTCGAAGGTCGGTCGGTTGTTTTAATTTTTGTTTACTTGATGAAATTGGAATTTTATTATAAATATTTATATTACAGTCATGTGAAAATTGTATTGTTTGCTGGAAGCCAGGACAACTAGAGCAGAATGAATTAAAACACACGGATACTCTTGTAACTATACTTCATCGTTATGAATTTAAAGAATGTGAAATTTGGTTCATGAGGTTCTCCTTGGATGCGGAACATAAAGTTTGTATTATATGCAAAATAGTACACAAGTAGTTCTTTGTTAACATGTCTGATACATTTCTTAAAAGTGATATATTAAGTGAAAATACATTAAGCAAAATTATACAGGGTGCTTTTGAAAAGTTACTGTGCAATGAAAAATTCACATAATCACTCATAGGTTCCAGACCTCGTTCCCCAGATTTTTATCTTGGGTGCTCTGAAAGGATGGGTATATAAGAACAATCTGCACACTCTGGAGGAACTTACTGCAAGACTGCAATTACCCAACACATCAAATGGATCATTTCTGCCACCCTCCAGAGTGTTTGACAGTATGCTGCATGTTGTGCAGATATGACTTAAAGCCTCTAAGGGACATTTCCAGCATTGCTGTAGGAGAAACTGGAATATTCATGGTCCTACACACCTGGAATGTCGGTGATTTTTGTTAGTGTCCGTTTTTTTTTATGGGTATATATCCCCGTAAAAATTTAGATGATGATGATTATTAGATACCTTCTTGGTTCCTGATCTCTACATTTGTTTTTATTCAGTTTTTGTTATTTATATAACTCAGGATGATGAGTTATGTGCCTATCATCATACAAAAGATACTTCTATCTTTACATAATGAAAGGCATTAACATTATAACAAATTTGCTATTTTGCCATTCATGATGATTAAGGACATTCACTAAATGCTTTGTTTTTTTTTTTTAGTATTAAAAAATGCTTTTGTAACATCCAAATTATGCTTTAAAATGCTTTTTTTTTCCTAGCAAGAATAAACAAATTTTCTAAATACTTGGAAAATGTTATTTTTTTAATCAAATATTAATTGAAAGGTATAGTAAAGTAGTAGAATTAATAGTAATTTTAACTACTTTGTGGAGAGAAGTATTCTTTAGTCATGCTGTCTTTTGTTTCATATGCTTTGCCAAAGAGACATGCCATTGAATGGTTGATTTTTTTTTTTCTCATAAGATATCGTTTGAAGATAATAACTACAGTATAAACATCCTGACTCTACAGTAAGAAAATTCATACAACTACAATTTTGCAGAAATACTTACGTTCGGCATCATATTTATCTTACTTCCAATCTCAAACCAGTCATTAATTCTATGAAACACAAAAACTAAATCTATCAATGATTTCACCTGCTTACAGTTTAATCTCATCGTCAATCAATCATTAAATAATTATTTTTATTTTTTTAAAAATTGATGTAAAATGTTTTTGATTGGCCTTGATGATGGATTTAATCAATTGATGACAAAGAAAGACACTGAATAAAACCATTACAACTGATTTTGAGATTGGTCAAAATGGGCAGAGTGACTAAGAGTGTAATTAAGGTATTAGTTATGCAATACCTCTAGTAATCTTCTCCAGAATTTACTAATTATAGTACAAAAATTATACTAATTATACTAATTATAGTACAAAAATTATAGTACAGTACCAAAACAACTAAAAATGCAAAAGTTGGCATAACTTTTATTTACTGACATAGGTCGTTCAAACTCCTCTTTCTATCTGAAAGTAATACTCTCTCTCCATTATGAGCAATGCATTTGTGCCATTGTCAAACCAAATTCTGGAATCCCATTACAAAAGAATTCAGGTTTGCACTTCATTCAGTGGTCCCCATTTACCAACCGGCCTAAAACTAATGTCCTCTTCATTGGATCAAACAGACAGAAGTCGGGACGATCTTCGCGGAAGATTTGATGACATGGGCAAGGCATGGCCGTAAAGAATTGGGTACAACAATGCACACCTGAATTTTTCAGAGGATTCCAGAGTTGGGTTTAGCAATGGCACAAATGCATTTTTTATAATACTTGGCAGTGCCCTTTTTTTTTTTTTTTTTTTTTGTAGAGGAAAAGTTACTTTGTCAAACAAATGCAATTTGAACCTGTATCAGTAAAGTTATACCCTTTTGCATCAGCTTTGGTACGGCCCTCGTATCCATAATTAATAGCATTAAAACAAAACTGGAACATGTTAACAAGGATTATCTGTAACTATTATGGCTTTCTTAAGCTATAAGTAATTGAATGAATAATAATAAAAATGAGATTTATAGTTTGGTAAATTTTTTTAGATCCTGGCACTTGGGAATCAGGTCGGGCGCACTTATGTATGGGATATAGACGTCGATGATCCAACCACCGCAAGGTGAGATTCTTTTATTTCCCTTAAATTTTAGTTTATTCTGGTATGTATTAAGTCTCAATGTGGTTTTCTAGGTGCACGATTCTCACTCATGCTAAGTGTACAGGTGCAATCAGACAAACTAGCTTAAACAGAGACGGGAGTTTGCTTCTCTGTGTATGCGATGATGCAACTGTATGGAGATGGGATAGAATCAGTCATTAACGACGGACGGATGTTAATGCAATCAAATTTTTTAATGAGAAATTTCATTAGTAAATCTTTTTGTAAAACCTATTTCCTTTTTGTTGAAATAGAACTCTACACAAGTTTACAAGTGTTTTTTATACAGTATTATTCTACAATTTATATGATTTTTTTTTAATTCGGTAAATAAAATACTGCTGAAGGTGAACAGATGTTAATTTATTTTAATTAAATTTTCTATTCTTCTCATAATTAGTTAAATACACAGTTCAAGAATTGAAGCTTCAAAGTTTCACTATCAGATGGTAGCACAATTAAATAAATTTTTAAAAATTCTTTCAATGTTTTGCTCAATTTTCTTAATTTTTAAATATTTATTTAATGATGATAACCAATTTTTTCAATTTAAATGTTTAAATTATGTAGAAATTACTTGTTTTTTTAATTTCTACAAATTTAAAATTTTTTAAAATTTTCCAACAGATGGCAGCACCGATCACAGTATGAAACGGTTTTTTTCTATATACAGTATTTATTATTATTCAAACAATGATAAAATTATTATAAAAAATAGCACATAATAGAAGTAGCCATCGACATCATATTGAGATTATTAAATATTTTTAAAATACGGCAACAGATGGCAGAAAATACGAAATAAATTTTATTTAAATTCTTTTTAAAAGTTTATTAAAAATTTAAGTTAATTAAAAATATTAATATTTTATAATTTTAATATTCAAAGAAATGATTATAAATATTTAAAAATAAAATCACTTAATAAAAAGTAATGTTACGGAAATTATTAACGTTCACAACACGTCTTTCAAACTTTAAGGAGCGTTGACTTGTCTCCGACTTTTCTTATTCGAGGGGACGATCTTCTTGTCATATCGGAAGAGTCTTTGATGAATTGATGCAAGGAATAAGAAGGGGAAAAAAAAGGATCGGGACCACACCCTTCTCTCTAGGTTATGAAAAATCGCCCGAGGCTACCAATTTTGTTTTCTTTCTCGTTCGTCAATGGTTTTTGAAGTAGTTTTCTTGAAAGGCCGACGTTCATTGGTCGATGTTTGTTTTGACTCTGGCATGACGTCTCGTTCTGCTCGACTTCTCGGCTTTACAGAAAAGCGCTATTGTGTTTTCCCATTCCGTATTGACTTCGACACAATTACGAGACCGCGTGAAGTCGAGACTTTTCACAATAACTCGTTTATATGGCCGTGTTGGAGAATATTTCTCAAACTTGCCCTTCCCCCTCTTCTTATTTTAAATAAGTAAACTCCCCCCCCCGCTTCCAGGATTCGAATTCGGACTCCCCGCTTCGCGTTGGCATTGCGAATTTTCTCTCTCCGAAGTTTAAAGTTCGCTCGGTATACGATATCTTTTTGACGTTCATATTGGCGAGAATCGTTTCATCTGATGACGTCATTGTCCCTTTTATAAAAAAGATGACCTCACGCTTGACCTTTGCTGCGGAGAAGCTATGAACTAGAATGCAAAGACATAAATATCAACTGTAAACGGTTGGATAAATGCTCGTCTATGTTCTGTTCTTGCCACTTTTTGAATTATAGAAAGTTTATTTTAAAAATATATATTTAAATTAATCCGTTTTAATTTTCAAAATAAACACGTCGTCATACTAACCGTACTGTTACGGTTACGAACGTCAGACAGTGACGTCATTGACCATATCATAAAGTATGAATAAATAAAAGATATTTTTTTCTTTTTAAAGTCTAGTTTAGTTTCAAGTTTATCGAAGAATGTAATAATTTGCTATTTTTATGTGAATGTATGGAATATTTGTATTAAAAATGTATGTTAAAAAAAGCAGACGACATTTGTAGAGAATTAGTGACGTCACTCGGTAAGTTTTATTATTACGGCGTTACATAAAATGTCGGGAATTTTTAAACGTATTTTTTTATATTATAAACGTGTTTTCGGTGTAAACAAATTAAATCTGGGCTTCAATTTAAAATAACAAATTTTATCAAATTCTTAATACTTTGTACGAAATTAGAGCACAATCTGAATCATGTGAACGGTGTGTTTAATCACGTGACTATTTAATTATATTTAAAAATTAAATATTTGTCTCGCTTGTTTGTTTTATTATCGAATTAATGCAACAAAACAAGATAAAGATAACATATTTTAAGATGTAAATAAATTTCCAGGTGTTAACGTTTAATTCTAAAATTAGATACGAAGCGTCACGTGATCTTTTTTTGACTCGATCGAATCACGTGATATCGGAATTTAAAAGCTGCTACAAATTAGTCATTAAAAGTTAAAATTAGAATTAATTATAATTATTTCGAGCCATTTTATTTTTTAAATTGGCAAGAGAATAAATAAAAGAAAGACGTTTAATATACATAAACAAAGCAGATGACGTCTAATGTCAACCGGATATGACACAATAGTTAATTAAAAAAGTATTTGAATTTTTAAATCATACGGTGACATCTATCGGAGAAAGTATCCTTTATTATAATTTTAATTTCTCCTGTTTAATTAGACAATTGTCCGATTTCCTTTAGCGTGATTCACGTTCGTGATTAATAACATCTGCGTGATAAAGACAAATATTTGTGACTCGTGACCAGTAGACTGTTGCATTAACAATCAAACGTTACATATCGTGGTCGACGTACCTAGAGGAATGTCGAAAAAATCAAAAAAATTTCGCCATTTTTCCTTTATATAAATCGTGTTTTACCATAATTTCCAAGTCGCGAAAAGAAAAGAAAAAAAAAATGTTACTACGGGAGCCATTTCCGTTCCCCGTAGCGACATTCTCACTTTGAACCTCGGACCTGCCCTTCCTGTCACCTTTTCTTCAAAAGGAGGGACGAGTTTGGCATTTACTACGACGGATAATTCTAACTTTCTGTACTGCTAGAATTCCCAATTTGTTTCATTCTCGACGGTAAAAGTGGCTGCGACAAGAGTTTAAGGTCCGAAGTAGGGGATTTTCGGGCTTAAATCGCCGGTTTTTTTTAAAGTCTTAATTACAAAGAAAATGACCACCCAGATTGTCCTTCCTTAGAGGAAACAGATGGAAGACATACTAAGAGATTAGATGAAAGTTTACACCGGATGAAGAATGGCATTGTGCTTTCTTCATTCGGCCAAGATTTTAAGTATTAAATATGGTAATACTGTTGAAATCACACACACACACACAAAAAAGGAATTCGAGATGAAGATCCAAGAGCGAGAAAACCCCCCAAAAAAGTCCAGAATCTATTGAATTCTTACGCTATTTATACATTTTGATTTAGTGCATAACATAAAAATAAATATGTTCCCCCCGACTGGTTTAATAAATAGAAAATTTTTGACATGATCTGCATTTTTCTTTCACTCGACTCGCGATTTATGATGATAGACGAAACCTTACTACGTTTATATATATTTATATATTTTGTTTTATTTAATAACTTTTATGCCAAAATTTATGTACGTTATAATGGAATTTAACATAAATTTTGTTTCTCGACTGGTTGCATTTTTTTCCTTTTTTAAAATATAATATCCGGGGATTAGAACTGAATAAAGGCCTTGGTATAATGTAAATCTTTTTTTTTAATGATTTAATGTATGGCACTTGGCATAATGTAAATTATATAATTGCATAATTAGGCCTACGTTTAATTATGCTTTGAATGTAATATTTACTGCCATAATTTGCCTTAAGTTCCTGGTAGTTAGCATAGGTTTGTTCAAGAATTTACAAACTGTTGGAGAAATTCATGAATAAATTTGGATATTCATGAGATCCTCGGATTGCGTCTTGGGCCTCACAAATACGAGGCCCTAACGCCTCTCCTAAAGCCATGAGATATGAATAAAATTAATAAAAAAACGAACAAAACCAGGCTTGCCATTTATCATACACAAATATGAATAGTTGTATTTTTACATAAGACTGAAATTTGGAGCCCGGTTATCCCTTCTGGCTCCTTTATCTGGGCATATGTATACTATATATACATTACAAATTAATTGTTTTTTTTTTGTATTTTTAATGTGTTGAATTTTCCTTAAGAGATCAATAATAATTATATGTTAGAACAAAATTAATAAATAAACAATTTAATTTTAAGTGAGGCCCGGATAGAGGAAGCTCTCAAGGCCATTTGGCCCTGGACCCATACAGAGAGGCCCAAACTTTAGTTTTATATAAAAACGTGGCATAAAAATAATTGTTAAAAATTCTGTTTGTATTTTTCGAAGAATTAAACCCAGGCCCTAATTTACGCCAAAGTGGAATACGCTACGCTTTAGGGTCCCACACTTTTATATTTATTATATTTTAAAGGGAAAGAACAGCTTTATGTAATGGGTTAGTCACAACGAAACCAAATTCGATTCTGGTGGGACCCCACGTTTTTGATTGTCCCAGGCCCCATCGTGCCCTGCATATAATATACATATGTGTGTGTGTGTGTGTGTATGACACATTTTAAATCAAGATTCAACAAACCTCATTCACACGGTAGACGAATTTAATCCGGTTTGACTCGAATTAATATTTATAATATGCAAAAAAAAAATCTGACTGAATTATATATATTTGCTGTACATGATATACTTAATTAGCATAATTAAACAATTATAATTTAATTAATAAAATAATAAATCGCAATTAAATTTTGGCACAAAATTCATAAACAAAAGGGGACATCTTAATGAAGAATTTAATAGAAAATTTTAGAGAGAACAAAAAATAAAATAAAATAAAAAAATAAATAAAATAAAATTTTTTTGTGAAATTTTCCTTAAAGAAAATATTTCCTTCTATATAATTATGATTATAATTATAATTATTTTCCTTACTCTATTAAATTTTTTTGTTATTATTATTATATTTTTTAAATATATTTTTCTTAATATTATTCATTTATTTTGTTTCGCAAATTTGTGTAGAAATAAGGAAAAATATTTTTCTAAATTTGGTTTGTTCTTTGAAGCATCGTTGAGTCTTTAGAAATATTTTTATTTATTTATTTTTTACCTTTTACTTTCGTCCTTTTTGTGTTTTCGGGTAATCGAAAATAAAGGCAAAGAAGAAAGAAAAGAAAAAAAAGTAATAATAAAAGTAGGGAAAAACTGCTTCGTGTATTTTTGTCATAATAGGGAAATTTCCCTAATTTATTCTTAAATCAGGGAATTTTTATTAGGGAAATTCCCCGAAATAAAAAATTTTTTCTTCTAATTTAAGAATAAATTATAAAAATTTAAGAATATTTTAAAGTAAATTAAAGTTATTTATTTATTATTTTTATTAATGAATCTAAAATTTTTATTCCCTGTTCGAATAATTAATATATTTTAATTTTTATTGGCATTTGAGACGTCGTGCGCGAATACGTTAATTTGATTGGTTGTCGTTCTGGATATTTTGTAAAATCGTCCAATAGGATTCTGCGTTACTTCGCTCGATTTAATTTTAAATTATAAAATAAAATAAAAATTATTAAGTAATAAAAAAGCAATTTTACGAATTATTATTATTATTATTTAAAATTTATGTAATATAATAAAGATAAAAATAAACATTTAATATTTTNCGATAAACAATTTACGTAATTTACGGGAATTTATTTATTTAATTTATTTTAATTAAAAAAAATTAAATAAATAAAAAGGTATTTAAAATAAAGCTCGAGTTTTAATCGAAACGAAAACGCTCGTTTAGTGTCTCTGGCGTTCGAGGACTCTTCCAAGTCACGTGACTGCGGAATGCGAAAAATTTTGAGTGGGCGTTCCCTAGCCGTCAATCATCGTCCGTCACGTGCCCGGAGAAGAATGTCAGCCACGCGGCCAGGCGGGCGGAGCCACGGGCGTCAATCACCAACCACGTGACCGTCGGTGGAATTCCAGCAATTCGTTCGGTGGGAGGAGCGTCGCTGCCAATCACCAAACGCCGTCACCATAGTTACCAGGATGATCTTTTTGTCAATATTTCGGGAGTTCGTCGTTTTACCCGCGAATTAATACGCGAGAGATTAATTTAACTCGGACACGTCCGAAATAAAAAAAAAAAAAAAAACGACGGCATCGACTCTAACACACACGAGAGATTGTCCTCTAAGGCGACTTTTGGTTGAGGGGAAAAAAAAAGAAAAGGAAAAAATGAGGTCAGAAATTAGGGTAGGGTGCCACAGAGGCCGTAGAGAAGCGCAACTCGACTCGGATTAAACCACGTAACAATGTTCGACGTCGGCTAGCGTCGACCATGCCCCATAACAGGTAGGCCTTAACTTATTATAGACTTATTATCGATACAATTGACATTTTTTTGTTATCGGTTTCCACTCGGATAACAAATATGGCGACGCGTCCGTTTTTCTCTCGTGTTCTCCGATCGGCTCCCGACAGGGGGATCGGAATTTCGTGCTTTTTGCGGATTAACTGGAGTCTTTGCACGCGCAAACTCCTCTATCTGTTTCCTCCGTTGATTAATATCATCCGTGGCTCTTCCTAATTGCGATTAAACCGCCATTTTACCTAGTTTTTTAGCCGAGGAATGACGTTAATGATCCGATCTCTCTTAAGCTAATCGAATTAACACACACACACACGGCCTGTTGTGTATTGTACACTGTGTTGTGTGAATATAATACGGTGACGTTGTAAATTATGGGAGTGCTTGCGTATTGTTTATTTATTAAGTGTTTTTTTTTCTCCTGTTTTTCTTTTGTGAGGTAATTTCGTGTCTGCATCTGTCAAGTTTTGTATCTGTAAACTTGGAGTTTACTGTTCAACTGAGTCCAAGTTATTGATTCCTGTGTTTGTTGGTGTGGCTTTTATGGAGAAAAATCACTAATATACTTTGCGGTTTCTTTTTAATTAAGTTGTCTGTATTTAGATCCCTGTATTCCTTTTTCCACTCAGCTCCTCCGCTTCCTACCTTAATTTTGGCGGACGGGCTGGCCAGGACCCGAATCAACTTTTAAAAATGGTTTCTGTCCCACCTCGTGTTTGTAAAAATTCATATTTCTCTAGGCATTTTCATTTCGTGTCCTTAGTTTATTTTATCTGATACAATTATCACAGTGTGCCAAGGCAAATAGTTTTGAAATTTCATACTTTGTGTGTGTATTGTTTATAATAGGCTTTGTTTGTTTTATGTGTTTATGGAAATCTTAAAATACCCTGCATACTTTAAATACCCGACGTAGGAATGCGAATGGAATTTTTAAAGAATCGAAAGGCCGAATGTTCGGACTCCTTTTAGATGTGATTCTGTTCGGATGGAAAGTTTCCACAAAAATACGGCCGGGAAAAGGGTCCTTTCGCATCTTTTCTCTACCTTTAGAAATCAATGAATGATAAGAGGAAATGCCAAAGGGGCCCGGACGGTCGAGGGCTCGATGTTTCTAGCATCCTACGTGCCCAGAAGGTAAACATTAGTGATGTGCTGTCTTTGTAGCTTATAATTTTTTAGTTAGTTTTGTTAGCATTAAATGCAATTAAACTTTATATAATTAAGTTAAAAAGAAAATAATTTGTATGAAATAAATAAATTTCCTCTCCAGTTTCTTTTAATGGTTTTATATATTTATTTTTATTTTTCTCATTTTTAAATATTTATATTTCTATAGTAATGATACTTAAACTTTAATGGTAATGTTAATGAGATTCTATATTTGTCTGTTCGGGAATAAAATACAGTACTGATTTATCTGAATTTTGTCTTTAATTTTTAAATAATTTAGGATTTATTTTAAGGTAAAAATGTTTTACTTTTGAAGAAATTAATGGAATTTACTAATTAAAAATGTATGAAAAGTTTTTAATTGGAAACATTACTTATCTTAATTCTCATTCATAACATCTTTTAATAATTTTGTGCTTTCTAGTTTAATTAATTTAGCTTTTTAAATGAAATTATATAAATTTATAAATGATATAATTATTTCTTTAATGATTAAGAATAAAATTTGAAATTTTAATTTGGTTTGTTCTTGTTACTGATTAAATTTAGAATAAAATTATTATTATTATTCAAAATAATTAATTAATGACAAACATCTGTATTAGATTAAACTATGTTGTGACAGGTGTTGTTAGCTATGTCTTAATGGAATTTATTTCGTTGACTCATTGTGTGTTTACTTTTTAATTTCAGTTTTAATGAATTTTCGTCTTAACGTGGATACTAAATTAAATGTTTGTGTGTGTAAAAATGTGTGTGCGACGAGATATCGATTCATCATCCAAAATGGTGCCTTATCTGGAATGTGTGAACGAGAAGTTTTTGCTTGGATTTGTTGTTTTATCATTGTCTCTGTTATAGTGATTGACTGCAGTTTTTCATTCTGAGGAATTTGTTCTCAAATGAAGGGGGTGACAATGTAATATTTTTGAGAGGATTAGAACGACGAACTGCTGTGATTTCTACGTAAAATTGTGTGCATGGTTTATGATGTTTACTCAAGTAAACGTGGGTATTATTTGTAAAACTGCTAATTTAAATCCATTACATTGCTTTATCGTACGTCGCTCGATGCGACGAAATTCACGAGGGCCACCGTAGACACAGGAACCTATGATCAATCAGGATAACGACATCCAGAAGACGAAATTCCTGCCACCGAACTCCGCGGAGCCATGGAATCATAACGGGCAGATGCTCCGTGACATCAAAGAGAGCCTGAGTCATCTTCGTCAAGAGAAATCTAGTGTATTATCTACGTCCTCTGGATCTGGATTACCTAACGTGTGTGCTCAAGCCTCTTATCAATCCGCAACATCTCCCACTTATTTATTATCATCTTCAAAGTGTCACCCAATGCAAATCAAATCTGATTTTGCTAGTGGTGGAACTGTGCAGCAAAACACCGGATTGGGAACCACGAATCCTAATGGAGTTATCTTAGGTGCTTACAGTGGTGGCGTATCCGATTCAAGAGTCGCCGGAGCAGTAAAATCTGCTCATTACAGACAAAAAGCCTTAGCGGAGATTAGAAATAGTTTGGAGCCGTTCGCAAACAAACTAGAATTAAGTAGTTCTAGTAGTAACGCTAGTGATTCGAGTGGATTCAGTCAAACAATCGATAGTGTTAGTTCCTGCCCAAATGGATTAGACAAGGATAAGTTACATAATCCTGAAGATATATTATCTTCCATGGGCTACAAGGTGGGTCATAATTTATTTTTTATATATTGCAATTAATATTGAGAAATTATAATATTTTATTATTATGAGTAAGTTTCACATAGATGTGTTTGTTAATATTTAAACATATATTTATATTTATTACTTAAAAATATAGGTAAAAATATGAGAGCTTAGAACAATAACCATACAAAATTGTATTGTTTAATATTATTTATTCATCATCATGAGATCATAATTATGCCTATAGTTTCTATAACTGATTAAGTGTTGTTGAGAATGCTTTTAACCGTCATGACTATATAATTTTCATAGTATATTGCATTTATTACGGAATTCAAATCCATTATAAAGTTGAAAATGGCAGCTTTGAATATAATCGAGCATCCAGTATAAAACTTAGTAGTTTCGATTGGCTGACACGGACTCACTCGAGTTTTATTGCCGTAGTTAGGATAATTTAATAAGGTATAAAGTCGGTGGCTCGCAAGCTGTTCTGGCAAATAAAACACTATAACAGGATATAATCCAAGAGATATAATGCTCCTAACTTTAATTATGTTTGCTTAGAAATCTGTATAAAATTCAAAATTGTTGTAAACAATCTATTGAACTATTTAAACATTCCTTTAAATTTTTCCAGTAATTTTTGCCTTATTGATGCTTGGTTTAATTAATCAATTAATTAAAAAATAAATGAAAAAAGTGTGTCAAATCCAGGTGCTTGTTAACATGTATTTGCAGAATTTTAATCAGCTGTGAATAATAATCTTGTATTTATTCACATATATATATATATATATACTTTAAATATAAATAATATATTTATATATAGAGGTAATGCAACAGTTTACAACCTTGACCATGATGTATAATTGGTTTAACATTTCAATATATTTTTATTGGGTTTAGTTTCTCTGTTCTGTTTAAAAAAATCAGCTTTTAGAAAAAAATAATATTCAGATCATATAGAATTTCATTATTTTTAGATGAAATGTCACACTTTTGGATTACGTTTTGGTAAAGTTGGAAACAGAGCAACATTGAAATGAGCAAAAAAATATTGTCACAGCCAATAACTAAATTAATAAAATAATTATTACACAGATGCATAATTACAGTTTGTGCATCTGTCTTGCTTCTGTTTTGCTTTTATTTATATGCAAGAGACAGAATAAATTTAAAAATTTGCTATCAATACAGTTAAATTAGCTGTAAAAATGATTACGAAAAATTTATATATACGGGCAATACCAAAATAATAACAATACGTCATCAAGCATTTAAAATTTGCCTAATTTAACAGGATTTAAGATAATAGAAAAGAGCAAAATTATCCTTTAACATGTGTTATCTATTGTATCGGATTTAATAGCATGCATCTTGTTGTATTGAGTGCAAGTTATAAAGTCCAAGTGTGGTTGCTGTTTGAATTGTCATATATTAAAGATACAAGAGTTTTTACTAAAATATTTTATAATGCAATATTTGTTGTTATGGATTGGATACGAAATTGCAATTTCTCTGTTTAAATACAGTAGAGCGTCGATTATCCGAATCAATTGTGGACTGGGGTTGTTCAGAAGATCAATGTTTCGGATAACCGATCATGTATGAAAAAATATATTAATTTATCCCATCTTGGCATTTTTCTCCGTTGCATGTCGCTTCGCGTTGAATTTTCGTCAATGTTAAGCCTAACGAAGACTATTGTATCGTTAAAAATTATTCTTTTATTTTGTACGAACAAAATAAATATACTGAAAAATATAAAAACAATAAAAAATTATACTTCAGAAGTTAATTTAGTATCAAAAACACAAAATATTTGAGTAGCCCAAGACATAGCCAAAGATTGCAGTGCCACAGCACTAGCAAAAATTTAAATTTGCCAACTGGAATTCTTTCAGATGATTGACATTTCGGATAATCGATGCTCTACTGTAATTTAATTAGTTTTGATAATGATATAGAAAATAGATAATGATAATGAAATAGAAAAGGAGTATTGCAAGTCTGAATGCCTACAACCTTGTACAGGTTGTAGGCATTCAGACTTGCAATACCCCTTTTCTATAGGTTTATATGTATGAAATGTAGGATTCTATTATACTGGTTCCAAGTACTATATTTTCATGTCTGCATAAAATTACTAGAACAAGAATAAAATCTTTGAATAACTCACCCTATCATATATTTTATACTTATGTCACCTAGCCACTGCTCTAAGTTCAAGTTTTTGATTGTAATTTGAAATTAGCATATAACTCACCCCTTTTGAATAGTCTGCTCTCCCTTTTCAAATTTTTAATACTAGACCAATACTGAGTATTGATAAGGAAGTACAGGGTGTTCGAAAAGTTACTATGCAGTGAGAAATTTGTAATGATAGTAAAGTTATACATGTAGATACAGCATTGCATACGAGACCTGTAAGTTGTATGTGTTACGTTTTCACTTTATAATATGTGAGTTGTACGTAACCGAACGATTGCCTTAACTAATTGGGCTATAAATTCGCTATTATAAATTATTAGATATTAAGTAATGAGCAAAGGCGATTGTTTGGTTGAGTATCAATGTATTGGGCTTTAGAAAGTTCATTATATATACAGTGAACTGTATAAGGCAAATTTGTATAACGCAACAAAAAAATTGCTACTACAGTAGAGCATCGATTATCCGAAACAATTCAGGACTGGGGTTGTTCGGATAACTGATCATTTATGAAAAAATATATTAAACACAAAACTGTGCTGTATATATTTTGTATCTCCTGTCTTATAAATACATACCGTACATAATGTAATACATTAAAGTAGGCCTACAGTTTAGGTTGGCAGGGAGGAGGAGAGTGCTGCAGCACCACAGCACTAGCAGAAATTTGAATATGCAGACTGGAATGCTTTCGGTTAACCGATGTTTTGGTTGATTGGTATTCGGATAATTGATGCTCTATTGTAGTACTCATACAAAATATGGATTTTGTTCTCTGGAGGTATATGTTTTCTTCTTTAATATCCAGGCCTAGGTTTAAACGTGCATAAAATAATCTGATAAGGTCTTAATAATGCAATTTTCTATAATGTGGAATATATCCCCTGCATTGTATGGAACTCTGCCGTAGATGGTATTACTGCCTGCTCATGGATGTTCTGGTTTTTGAACTACTTTTTGGAAGACTTCTTTGCTGATTGCCTGATCTTCCACGGAATCTGGCCCATTAGGTATACGGACCTCACTATTCCTGATTTTGGGCTTCCTAGAAACATTTCCAGCATTTGTTGCTGGGAAACTGAAATATTGTACATGAAACTTCATTTTTATTAAAACTTTATTTACATACAGGATGTATGGTAATTTTTCAGATACTGTATGTAAATGTAAATATGTTCATTTTCTCATTGCTATTTTGTCATCAAAGTTTTATTTAGAGTAATAATGAAAAAATATATAAGAAATAATAGAAGAGTTACTGAATTTATAAATCTTTAGACCAATTTCTTTTATCAGTGGAAAGATTATTTTGGTTTGATTTATTATTAGTATAGTTACTGTATAACAATAGAACAGATACAGCCATTAGAAATAAGTCAGAAATTAATTTATTTAACTAAAATAAGTTCTAGAAATGTAACTATTCTGATACTTGATTTAGAGTCATAAACTTATCTATGCAATGAAAATTTAAATTAGAAAACAAAGTATTCCCTAAAATTGTTTGACAAACATGCAGATAGTTCGTAAATAAAACATCTAAACATCAGATTATAACTGATATCAATTCTAAATTTTTTTCTTTTTTTAAATGTAAGATGAAACTAATACTTTTTATTATTATATTTTGCAAATGATATAGCAGAAATGAAATTTTGTATTTATTTATTTTATCCTCATTGGAGCAATATCTCTCCATTTTCAAAAATGATAGGACAATTGTCATATTGGCACTTTTTGGTATGTATTGCACCAAAGTGTTCCGTAGCAATAAGCTGCGAAGCATTTAGCATTTTGCAAAATTAATTTCTGAATTGTTAAAGAAAGAAAATTTAAATTATTATTATTTTTTCTGTAATTACAATGCATGTCGATCTGCTTCATTGTATGCTTTCGAGCACATATTGCTGCTCGTTTTCATTGTCGTTTTTGAGAGTTCTGATATTGGTGTTTCCTGATGAACCAGTTTCTTCCTATAAACGGATCTTTAAGCTAATTGTAATGCTAAAAATTTGAAATATTTTATTTTTCAGAGATTCGGTTTCTAAATTTACAAAGTCATGCAATTCTAAACCATTTGTTCATTCATCATTGGAAGTTAATTGAATACTTTGCATATAAATAAGCAGTATTTTTAAAAATACAAAATTAATTCCAATATAAATTTTCAATTAGTTTGCTCATTTCTTTTTGTGAGCAAAGTTATTCTATATTTAAAATTTGATAAAATGTATAACTGCGTTTACGGTGTGTACTTTTGTCGTCCTTTTAAAAATGTTATCACTTGTTATCTATTTTATCAGTTTTAATTAATCTTAATTAAAATTCTTTAAGTTATAATAATAATTAATTTAAATGCAATTAATTAAACATGAAAATAAATTTCCTGAAAAATAGTTATTTTTAAATTAAAATTTTGAGGGTGATTTATGCAGACAGATTAAAGTTTGATAACTACCAGCTGGTGTCTTAGGAGGATTTCTTGCACTTCCAGTCTTGCAACGATAACTTTCTCTTATCTGCATCATGGCATTAATTTGCATTTTTCATTATTCCCATTTAAAGCTGAGGAACTTCACAGGATAGCGCTGTCCTCTGTTTTCTTATCTCTTTTCCAAAATTGCAGATCCGACGATTAGGAAAGATTACGTTCAGTCTCTGTGCTGAGACTAACATAATTATTACGGCATGGATAATAAATAATTATCTTAATATATATTTGCATTTCCAAGGAATGATTGGAATTTGGGAATTTAAATGCCACACCGGTTGTTTGAGATTGACCTTTCTGCAAATTGCACGGTTGCAGAACAGACGCGGACTCTCCAGCTCAATCTGTTTAATTTGTTCTAAATTCTTAAAATATGAATGGTGGCAATAGTTTTTTGTATGGGTCAATAATGAAAGATTTACTAAAAAAAATAATAGTTTCAAAGAAGGAAAATTGCCCTCTCATCATTTGTGGCATTGTTCTCTTATGATAGGTGGTGAATGTGCAAATTTATTCTTGTAAACCAAAAGCTTTTGATTTTATAAAGATCAAGTCATGTTTTAAAATAATTATATCACTGTTAATTGTTATGTATACAGTTGTTTTTAATCACTTAGGTGTTAAATGTTGATTCATTTAACTTGTTTTATTGGGTCAGAAGGAATATTGTTTCAAATGAAAACAATTACAAACATGCCTGTTTATTTCAAAGGTGGGACAAATCCCCCATAAAGGAATTCTAGTAACCAGTCAATTAGCAGATTTATTAAATATCAAATTCTGTAGGTAATAGTGTTAAGTATAAATATTGACGTTACAGCAGCTTTTATGTATTTCTGTTTATCCGAAATTATTCCGACATTTTTAAAACATTTCTTTTCGAACTACAACTAACGAACACAGAAATTTATTAATCAAAATATTTACTTGAAGCTTCAGTTCAAAGTAGAAATGCCAAAATCTGATTCATTGTTGTGAAACATAATTTTGGAATGTGAAAGTGTTATTGCAACATCAGATATTTTTCTGTGGTTTTTAATTAAGGGAGTGTTTCTTCCTTGTTAGTCTGAAACTTTTAAAAAATATATTTATTTTGTCAATAACTGGATTTTTCTAAAAGAAAAAAAATTATTTTCCTAACAAGAACATTTTAAAATGCTTTTTTGGATTATTACAATTGAATGAGGCCATCAAGGATGCCAAGGAGATCAAGTGCACGAGATTGGGTGGAGTCGGTGATGGCTTAATTAGAAATGGGTGGAAAGTTTGGATGGAGTCGTACGTCGACAGTACTTCGTCTTTCGGTCTCACACTCAAATAATATAAGAGTCCGTTTCATTCGACTCAGACTTGTTCGGAAGTCTCTCGAGCCGCGTGCCATTCCCAACCTCTCCGAGACTTATCGGAACTCTCAAAGTTACCTGGAATGGCAATGGGTTCCTTGCGCAAATGTATATTGTTAACTCTAAACAAACTAAAGTATATTGTCTACGAAAAGTAAGATAAACTAAAACTATAATCATTACATTAACAAGCAGATCTAATCAGTAGGAAAAATTGCATCATACTAAAATTTCATATTTAAATATTAATCGTTAAAAACAGAAAATATACCAACATCACTAGATAAAATCACTTAAGATCTTTTATAAAAGAACATAGAACAAAGCCTGTCCAAATTATTATATTTAAGGAATTTTTTTAATTCTATGTCATGGTTTGTAGTGAAATCAGGTTAATGGCATCTATATGAGAATTCTTTTCTTAATCACTTTAAAATGTAACGAGTTAGTTATCAAAAATGTTTCTTATCAACATTTATGTCCGAGATAATTGTTATTATATGAATTCTTGTTCAACTTGTTCCTCCCACCGATAACTTCAATATTATCAATCGGTGTCGGATCGCGATACAAATGGCATTTTTATATTTTTATCTGTGTTTCAAAGGATTAAATTTTGTGGAATTTCATTTTATTTTCTGTTACAGATTCATTTGGTGGTTTCTCGTAATGAGTTCGGTCGAATATTGCCAGTTTCTCTTTCCATTCCCCCGGTCCAGTTTATATTAAACAATGTATTTTGAGTTAAAATTGTGTTTTTAATGTAATTTTGGTTATTTTCATTTATAAAAAAATGCAAAAATTTCAGATAAGTTATCATCAGATTAAATAGTATTTAAAATCAGTAGAAGCTATCTCATCTAAAAAATGTCGGTTTAATTAAAATTTATCGCATTCCTTCTCTCTGCAGTTGTTTTTTCTCCTAAATTTCAAAATGTATTGTGTAGTAATTTCCCAGAAAAATATTTTTGTAAACAAACTACACACTACCAGAGATGAGGGACTTTTTCGAGGAAAATATGCAAATATTTAATTGTATATTTTCCTTTAAAATTTCCTGGCTGTAGTAATTCTCAAATCTTATATACCCTTGTAAGAAGACATGGATTTTTTTTAAAAAGAAATATGTAGTTGCATATTTTATGCAACTACATATTTTTTAAAGAAATTCCCCAATTAAGTATTTATAAAGGAAAGTATATGCCAATTAGACTGAAAGATTGGGGAAATTTTAAGGGAAAAAATTATTCAATTAAATTGCATATTTTCTTTAAAAATTCCTGATCTAAGTCACCACCAGAGATTAGGGAATTTTTTAAAGGAAAATATCTGCATATTTTCCTTCTATTTCCCCCATCCCAGTGTTGTAGATCTTAAAGCAAACCAAATAGGAGTCTGAATTGTAGATAACTTGATTTATGCCCCCCTTTAATTTGTACGGAAGAGGCCTCCCGCATTGCATCAGGAAGGCCTTTTTTCATTGAATTCAATTTGATATTCTAGAGAAATGGGCATAATTGCCCTTTAACCGCATCGTTTCATAAATAGGGAATTATGGAATTGACGTAAAGATGATGCGTATCGAATTTTTATCAGATAAAAAAAAATATTCAGAAATCCGGTTTTAAAAACAATCGATCAGAATTGCGACATTTTTATGAGATTTTACGTCTCGAATAAATCTCAGTCATACGATCATTAACGAGTAATCCGATTCTCTCGAATAAATTTTCCGATACGTTCGCCGTTCTTCATAAATATTAATCTCTGCCGCCGACTAGACCCGCTGCATCGACCTTCTCTATTTATTTCTCCTTTAAGGAACGATTCTCTTCTCCAAGAAATGATTGCGGTATAAAAATGAAAACATCCCGTCCCGTGTTTAGTTTGGAAGTGACGAGGAGATGGAGGAATTCGAGTTAAAAAATTGGGAATTTTTGATTTCGCCGTTAGGTGGCAGGGCGAAATTACTGTTCGCTGGCGTATATTACAGTACGTTTGTTTGGAATTTTGAAGTTTTCGTGGGGCGAAGGGAGGCGGCGACGCAGGAAATGTATACTTCGCCGTTTCGTCTTATTATTTTAATGGGGGGAAAAACCCCGAAGTGTCGGGATATATTTATTTGTCGGGGATAGATACGCGGACGTCTCATTATCGTCGCACCGGAGGGGACCGGGTCGACGTGTTTTCCCTTTTCGTTGGAGGAGATTCCTCTGGGGTTCGGCTCTCTCTCCGTAATTAATTATAAGTGGCGCGACGCCGTTCTCCTTCTCCTCCTCTTTCTCTCTCTAACGATAAAAAACGAAATTTTTGCGGGAGGAGAAAGCGAAATTTGTCGCCCGAAAGCGATCCCGGAGCTAATTAAAACGGCGGAAATTTTAAAAAGGAGTATTTTGTTACTTCCTCCGATCGAACGTGGTGGGGCAGACGATCGCTCTCCTAGAAAGGAGGGGGGAAAGGAAAAAAGAATTCGAAGGAAGGGGGCGCTCTCCCACTCCGGTCGATCGTTTTACGGCGGCAGACCGTACGACGTATAAATTATCCGGAGAGGTCCTTCCGAGGAATCGGACACGCGGCGCCGCGCCGTCAGGGTGCGCTCTCTCCGAGGGAGGAGGAAAATCGGCCGCGGGGAAAAACGGGAAACGAAGTTATTCGCCGGTGGGGGGAAAAAGAGGGAATTTGGCGACGGTCGGGGGAAAAAGCGGAAAAAATCACGAAGTGTCGCCGGAAGACCGGAGAGAAACGGGGGACGTTTCTCGGAAGGAAGAGGTGGGCTTTTCCGCGGGAATAGGGAATGCAGGTCGGATTATCGAAGGGGAAGAACGGACGAGGCTCCCTCGCTGATACTTCCCCCGGGGGAAGGACACTCTGCACTTCCCGTCCGTCGTTCACCTGCCGTTTGTGGGAAACTTGGCAGATGGTCATCGGTCCCTCACTCCCCTCGGGGCTCCGCATTCCCCGCGCCGAGGACGCCAACGAAAGCGGGTCGTCGGCTCTCCCCCTCCCTCCGGTGCCGTTCCGGTCTCTTCGGAACGCAGGTCCCAGGCCGAGTTGATGGTTCGGACCCACGTTCGAACCGGTGCATGGCTCGGCGGCGCTACCTTACTGGTTTCGGAGAGAAGCGCGCGACCCGAATATCGGAACGAGAATTGCCGCCTCCGAAAACCGCGCGGAGCGGCCGCGACCGGTCGTAGTCGAGTTACCGGATCCTGGGCGCGGGGAAAGGCGCCGAGGCCCTCGAACGAGGGGGGCGTTCTCCGGGGCCCCGCGGACACGTGCCCACCCCCCGGGAGGTCGGGAGATAGAGCGGAATCTCCTCCTCCGTCAGATAGGCATCTGGCCTCCGACCTCCCCTCTCGTTAGCCGCGCTATCTGCCGGCGGAGAGAGGCGCTGGCCGTCCTCCGCCCGGTCTCGAACGGCGAGCGCCGTGATAAGGAAGGGGGTGCGGCCGCCGCGTCGGAATTCGCGTTTCTTCCCCCGGCTGTTACTGAGATTCGGCGGCGTCTCCGGCGCGCGCCGAGTCAACCGAATCGTCTCCGCGGCGCGAACTTTTACTTTAAAGATTCCAGCGTGGGAATCTTCCGGGAAGGAGCGAGGCGCGCAGCGTCGGCTGACCGGAGGTGACGTCGGGGGGCCGTTTCCAGAATATCGTCCTCGGGACCGATGGCGAATTTTGCTAGGGAGATAAAACGAGTATCCGGCGAGGGCATTTTTTTCTCAGACGCGGCGCGCCCCCTGCAGACGTTTTCGAATTTCTAATTAGGGCTTTTTTCCTTTTGCGATTTTTTCAGGACTTGGCGTTTCGCTTTCTAAATCTGTCGGTGGACAAGAACGAGGAGGCGTCGGCGGGAAGGGAAGCGGTGCAGAAGGCCAACGGATGCAAGAAGACGACGCTGACGGAGGCGCCCAACGGTCTGACCAGATACGCGGGTGAGTGACGAACGCGTCCCGAGATGCAACGGGGCGGGTCGGGTTATGCGAAATCGGGCCAGAGCGGCGCATCCCGCGTCCGCCGAGACGAGACCGACCGGTTTTCGAGCGAGACGCGCCGACCCGTCCGAGGCCACGGGACGTCGGTCTCCGCCCGTGGCCGTGGGGCGGGACGAGTTAGTTCCGCCGCCGCGTGTGCGACGCGAAGACGCGCGACCCGCGACCCGCGACCCGCTTTCGTTCGTCGCGTTCTATTTTTAAACGGGATTTTTAGCCTCGTCTTGATTCCGACTTCCTTTTTCCTTTCAGCTCTCAGCAAGATCAATTTGAAACACTTGCAAAAGTCGACCGCCGGCGGCACTCAACCCGACAGCGGATGGGAGGGAAGTCAGTCACAGTTCGGTACGGGCAGCGCCACCGACAGTGTGCGCTCGGACAGTCCGGGAGCCTCCGCGGGACTCTCCGACGCTGCGGGGGTCCGGGGACGGGGGGCCGGACCTGGCCGTCCCGGGTGGAAGAGGCGGGGCCCGGCCGCCCTCCCGGCCGACGAGTCTCCTCCGCCTCCCCCTCCACCTCGCGGGGCTGCGGCTCCTCCCCCCGTTCCTCCGGACGGACCCGCTCCTCCCCGGCCTCTACCTCCTCTTCCCTCTGTCTCGCGGGCCGAGGGTCCCGTCCCCTTCGGCGGATCCGCCCACCCGCACCTGGCCCGGAGGTTGCGGCGACTGGGCGTCTGCTCATCTGGCGGCTCCCCGTCAGAGGAGGGGGACCTTCCCCCTCCCTATCCCGCCGTGCCGGGGGGCTCGCCTTCGGCCCGCTCTTCGCCGCCTCCTGCCTCCGGACGTCCTGCTCCCTCCTTTCTTCGGCCGCGGAAGAGGACACCCCCTCCCGCTTACCCGTCCTCCTCGTCCTCTTCCGGTTCTGGCCGGGGGCCGAGGCCTCCTCCCCCCTGCGGGGTGGCGGGCCCGGCCGCGGCAGCAGTGGTGACCACCGTGGGGCCTGTTCCACACTTTTCTTATCTGCAGTCTTGGAGTTCGCGTCAGGCCAAGTCGCAGTCTCCTGTCATCATGCACTCCGTCAAGAGCACACATGTCCAGAAGCCGGTGCTGCAGACTGCTGTTGCCCCCACCTCACCACCGGCTGTCCGGGACGCAGTTTCGGAGTCTTCCCGGGCTGGTCATTCAAATGTATGTCTCTCTGCCAGGGATCGTGTTGGCCTGCCCCCATACTTTAATGTTCGGGATGTCGGCGCCTCCTCCGATCTTCCGTCTTATCCACTCTGCTCCCCGGGTACAGATTCTGCACCACCGCCACCTCCATATTCAATCACTGCAAGGACGCGGTCAGCCACACGGGACTCTGATGATGGACCAAAACAGAGACGGGGTTGGGGTGTGTCGGGATGTGAGATGTTGCAGAGTGCCCGGGTTCCACCCTCTGTGCCGACGACCGAACCTCCCAGTTATGCCTGTGGGGTGGCAGCTCTGGCAGTCCAGAGGGCAACGTCAGGCGCAGGAAGTAACGCACCCGTTGGCTACGTCTCTACACGGGCGACGTCGTCGCGGCCTGACGTTGGAGTGCCTTCTGTGCTCGATTCGTCTCACCTGGTAAATACGGCAGAGAGCATTCGCACATCCCAGTCGACGGCAATTCCTTGTGGGTACGACGGCAGTGTAAATAATAATTGGCTGGAAAATCATTCTTATTTTCTGCCACAACCACCGCCTCCGCTGCCTAGGAAACCCGCTCCTGACCCACCGGATGTTTTCGATTCTGCCAATGGATTTGGATCCAGACCAGAGTCTCCATGCAATGCAAATCGGGCGGATTCCGGAAGAGAGAGGAGGACTCCCCCGCCACCTCCATACAAGAAGACAATGCACCAGTCGCCCATACCACCCAGAAAGGTTTTGTCAAGAGAAATGGAAGAAGAAAGGAGGGAGACCAAAATTAGAAATTTCTCTCCGACTGCCTTTAAATTTTATATGGAACAGCACATCGAAAATCTCTTGAAATCTCATCAGCAGCGGATACACAGGAGGCAGCAGCTAGAGACCGAAATGGCAAAAGTGGGTCTTTCAGAAGAAGCTCAAAATCAGATGCGACTAATGCTCCACCAGAAAGAATCAAATTACATCAGATTAAAAAGAGCAAAAATGAAAAGGTCCATGTTTGTCAAACTGAAGACTGTAGGAATCGGGGCCTTTGGCGAGGTGGCTCTCGTCCGAAAAGTGGACACCAGACAACTCTACGCCATGAAAACTCTCAGGAAGGCGGACGTGTTCAAACGCAATCAAGCAGCCCACGTGAAAGCCGAAAGGGACATACTGGCGGAAGCGGACAATGAGTGGGTGGTTAAACTGTACTATTCATTTCAAGATAAAGATAATTTATATTTCGTTATGGACTACATACCCGGTGGTGATCTCATGTCTTTACTCATAAAATTTGGCATATTTCAAGAATCGCTCGCAAGATTCTACATTACGGAACTGGTCGTGGCCATTGAAAGCGTACACAAGATGGGATTCATTCATCGCGACATCAAGCCCGATAACATACTAATCGACGCGGACGGACACATCAAACTGACTGATTTCGGCCTCTGCACCGGTTTCCGCTGGACTCACAATTCAAAATATTATCAGAGAAATGGTAGGTGACTTTTTGATTCTGTTTATCCAATTATTTATTTTGATTTTGTTAAAGTTTATGTTTTAAATGACAGGAGAACACAACAGACAGGATTCGATGGATCCGGACGAAAACTGGAACAACGAATGCCATTGTAAATCCATGAAACCGCTAGAAAGGAAGAGACACAGCGAACATCAGAGATGTTTGGCTCACTCACTGGTGGGAACGCCAAATTATATTGCGCCGGAAGTGTTATTGAGAACGGGTGAGAAACAATGATGAGGACATGTGTCTTTATATTTCTCTGATGCTAAAACCAGTTTTTATTCTAACAGGTTACACTCAGCAGTGTGATTGGTGGAGCGTCGGCGTTATATTATATGAAATGTTAGTCGGACAGCCACCGTTCTTTGCAAATACTCCAGCAGAAACACAGCTTAAGGTATTTCAAGTTTTGTAATCTGCCGTGTAGGGATTGGAATAGATTTTTAAAAAAATTTTTCCCTGTAATCCATAGGTTATTAATTGGGAAACTACCCTCCACATACCAAAAGCTGCCAACCTTTCAAAGGAAGCAACTGACATCATCCTAAAGCTGTGCTGTGGCCCTGAAAAACGGCTTGGAAAAAACGGAACGGAAGAGATAAAGAGCCATCCCTTTTTTGAGAACGTTGACTTTAATGGTGATCTGCGCAAACAGCCGGCACCTTACAAACCCATCATATCTTCTCCTACTGACACTTCCAACTTCGATCCCATTGATCCAGACAAACTGAGGAGCAGTGACTACAGCGATGACGAAAAGAACAGAAATGAATTAAACAACACAACACATCCAGAACACGCATTTTTTGAATTCACGTTTCGGAGATTCTTTGATGACGGTGGACAGGCCTACCCCGTCAAGATTCCCATGGAGGAGACCTTTGGCTACATGGACAATGGGGATTCTGCCATTTATACGGACAGTACCAACAGCAACTATGGCGAAATTAAGGATTCTTCCTCTTACACAGACGACAAGAAACCTCCCGTGTATGTCTGACCATTGCCGTCCATAATTCCACTCGAGTCTCTCTATTTTTGTAAAACAAAATTAGTTATACAAATACTCAAACTCAAAGCTATATTTTGAGATGATTTTATAGGAGGACCACGGTCGTAAACGACCGGCACGCTTCTATTTTTTCAAAATATGGATTTTGTAAAGCTGCCTACCAATTTTAAATTTGTAGGAAATTTATTTTTATATGCAGAAATCACGTTATTTTTCCATCACGCTCCGGAGAATTGTAGGCGCACGGAGCTTAGAATTCTATTTGTGGCAGCAAAGGATCTCTATATGGAAGCTGAATTATTTTGTAAATAATGTAAAATTTGATTTTTTGGTATTGTATAGAGGAAAAACGTTATTGTAGATTGGACAATTGTAAATAATTTTACAAACTTTTATCACAAAGTGATAACTAGAGAATAGCTTCTGAGAGGGGCATCTTTCTGTACAGGCTCGTTTACCATCGTCGTCCAGCGGAAACGGAGCCGCGGCGTAGCGTAAATAAAAGTTTATTTTGTGCGGCGACTCTCCTTCGAATTGATCCATAAGCAACGACGTCACCACACGTGAAAAAGTTTCCAACACAAATTTATTTAGCATTCTAACACCCATCTGTTTCCGGGTTTTAAAAGCGAACGGGACCGGTTCACGACAGCACGGAAATGACGGTTTTACACGGGCGGGCTCTCTCTCCCTCTGCCATTGTCGGTTCAACTAGATAAATTACGTTCATGCTGTACAGCACAGGATGATGCACACTGATACAGTGAGAACTTTAAACGCTCTGTCGTAAATATATTCAAAAACACTAAATTTGAGGCATAACAAATTTTTAAATTTTAGAAGATTAATATATTAGTTAATAGTCTCTGTTTCTTAAAACAAGTATATGCTAACTAGCATTCGGTAGAGGATCAGAGGTACCGAAACCAAGAAAGGCGAAAACTCGATAGGTGTGGCAAGACTCTTGCAGGGATCTTCTACGTACTTTGTTCTCTCCATCAACCAGTTTAGTCCCCGGTGCCGCTTCTGTTTCAGCAGTTCTTTGCCAACGATGTGTCTGGTGCGGCCATTGTAGTCATTCAACCAGGCTATCTGTTTACGAAATACCAAACAGAGTTGTTAATATTTGTATCGTTTTAGTTACAGTAATATCAAATATATTCTGATTTGTGCACAATGGTATAGGATCTATTTATCATCACATGAATAGATTAATTGTCATTAGGTAAATTTATTATCTTAAAACTATTAAAATTGTAATCAACAAGAAGGATTTTGATTTAATTTTCGCTTTAATATGATACAAAAAAAGAACCGTTACATACCCAATCAGTCGACTACAGAATGAGATAGATTAACCTTTGTATATGATGAGATTTGTAAACAATTAGAACGTTTGGAAGGAATTTGATTCTGTCATATAAAAATAGATAAAATGTTTGATTCCACCATAATCAAATATGCCAAAGAATCCTGGACAAATATAATGTGTATGCAGGTCGTAATAGATTCTATCAAGAACAATTGTTAATTGAACATATGCGAGTTTGAAATTATGTCAGTCTTTCTAAATTACTTTTTCAATCTGAGTGGCGTTTTCGGATTCTCCATCTGTCATGATTGATCTACTTTTTAAACCATTTATCTTGTTTCTTTTATGTTATCTAAGATCTCGGCGCTGTCTTCAGAACAAAAATTTTCAAGCATTTAGTAGGTTCGACATGGAGGAAAGCAATGATGTAACTGCAGGTATGTGTTGCTACACTTGTATTCAAATAAGTTGCATTTCAGAGTAAAGAATAATCCACATAATAACAATTTAGATATTTTTTAATGTAATATCGATGTTACCGAATGCTTTGCATCTGTCGCGATGGACCTACCGATTTCTTTTCTGTAAAATGTGTTTAAAAATTTTTTTAACTATTTTCAGATCCTTCTAATTGGAAATCTATAATAAAAGTCTTTATTGAACATAGATAAAGCAGAAAATTTGGATTATATATTTAATGCTTTATGTGGTGAAGTGTCAGAATTGGAATTCAAGAGCCAAGACAAAGACATGACCAAGCCAGCTGGAGGTGATAATATATAATGTAACAAATGCCTGTATTAAATGAAAGGAAAGAACAAAGAACTTGGTGGAGAAAACTTACAATTGCAATCTAAATTCAAATATAGGGTGGGCCATAATTAGATCCTCTTATTTTATTTAGAAGTAATTGTGTTAAAATTCATATGCATCAAATTATGTATTACAAAATATACCCTGGTGAAGGACTTCAAATATCATGCCCTAAAATATTCTTTAGAATGTTTTTTGTATGTGCACATGTGGAATGAAAGGTGAGAAGTGCCGCGGTTTCCTCCGGAGTTTTGTGAAGAATTGTGTTTGCTCAACAGAGCTGTTGTATTAGGTAGGAGCTTACAGACAGAACTGTGGCTACCATGCAATGTTAAAACGTTTGCAAAAGTCTTCAAGGAAACAGAATTCCATGTGAGTGAGTGCACAGACATTTCAGATGGCCATATTGAAAAAAAGTGAATCCTAAATTCCTTCGCTGGGATGTTTTGTAATATCATGAATTTTGCACTTATGAACGTCAACACGATTACTTTGAATTTTCCGTTACTCCTATTTTATTTTAAACTCCTACAGAAGTTTGAATTTTCTGTTACTACTTAGAGTACCTCGCCGGCTACACAATTTCTCTCTATCTCATAAAGATGATGTTTTGAGTGTTTTGAGTATAGTAAGGACATACATTAAAAGTAGTAGTAGGAGGTTGTCCGTTTTATAAACGGACTTTACCTCTGGGAAAATTAGGTGGTGTGAAATGGAAGTCAGAAGAGAAAGTGATAGGAAGTAGAGAGGGAAAGTAGATAGAATAAGTGTAAAGATGAGTATGGGAGTCCATGGGAGCCTGCATTGCATTTAATACAGTAAGGACAGACACATCGAAAATATGGCTTATTGTACCAATATCTACACATTACAAAATAATAGAAGAGGTTTCTTTGCTCTTCACACAGTCTAGGAAATTCAGATGGCCAATTACAAACATTCTGGAGCACGACATTCCAGAATAAGCAATTTTCTGAACAATGCAAAGAGATTTTTTTCAATTAAAATCCTGTTCACAAATGCTGCAAGGACAGCTACACAATATTTGACCATTAATAGAAACAACATTGTTTATATTGCCAAGTAGAACACTTATTTGTTGATGAACAAATGGTGCCTTTTACAAGAAACCTTTCTACAAAACAGTACTTAAAGAGAAAGTCTTGCTGCAAGATCTCAAAATCTTTGTTGGCAAAATCACAAAACAATCTTATTATATATTGAGGCAAGTCTGCTGAATACCAGTCACTTTGTATTCTGAAAGAGAAAAACACTTGTTGCTGGCACAATCTGCACTAATAAATTTGGTAAACTTTCCTTATTAACAATAAATGAAAAGGAAGAAATAACAAGCAGAAATGGAGAAATTGTAATAACAAAACAGTCAAATAACAGGATTGCAAGCAATGCTTCCAACTATGTTGGTAAAAGAACTGGAAAAAAAGGTCTCAAAGAAATACAACCAGATGTATGGAACATATGCCAAAATACAATAGAAAGAAAATGGTTGGACTCACTAAAATACTGTAATGGAAAAATGTGTGTAATGCAACAAGTCCGATATACATTTATGCCTTACTCCTTAGAGATTATTAGTTATTGTTGTAAATTAAACTTTTGTTCCGTCTTAATCTTCCTCCCCTTTCACGACACTCAAGACCTAATTATTCTCTCATCTGTTAGTTTTACATAAAATTATTTACCCTATTAAATTTTTCTCATATAAAGCATTTACATTACTCAAATGTGAATGGTGTTTGGAATTACCACTGACATTACTTAAGTTTTGTGAGTTTTATTACAGATATCAACCAATAACAAAACTCCATTCTGATATGCAAATCCTGAACAATAGGCAAAAATAACAAGCTCATCTTGGAAATAAGTATGGAGTCTTCTGCTTACCTGCTTAAAATAAGCAAATTAAGTATTGCATATTTAATGCAAAACCACTTAAAGCCACTTTGTGTGCCTTAAATGTCGTCATTGGTTCTCGTTACTGACACTCAAAATGGCCGAACCGTCCGACGTCGTAAAAAGTCACATCGTTCGATGCCAAAGAATGATATTCACAATGTCATGTTGCCAAGACAATGGGGTGTTCACAATCAGTTATAGGTTGATGGCGAGAAGCCATATTTGATTAATACATTAATTAATGTTGTCTAATTACTATTGTATTTTCGATTAGTAAATTTGATCATTCTATGTGTAATCATTTTTCCTTAAAATATTTTGTTAAAAGTTTATTTATCGTCTGTATTCTGACAGGCAAGGACTGTATTTGTTCAAAATATTGATTTGATTTATGTTCTTCTGTTTTTTCGGTTAAAATTGTTTTCAAACTACGTGTAATCAAACTGTCTTCAATTGTACATACTGTAAATATTGCAATTATTATCTGTATCTGATGGCCAGGAGCCATATCTGTATGTTTCATTTGATTCTTAATAAAACAGGCTGGGCGCCCATGAAACTTTCCCTTTTCATCCCCTTTCCTATCTCGCTTTACTCTTTCCCCTTCGCCTCTTCCCTTAACTACCTTTCCTCTACTCTTGTTCACACTCAGGCAATACCAATGAGTAGTCCCGAGTTTTCATCCCCTTTATGAAAATGAAAATGAAAATCAGTTATAGGTAAGATACGTTTTTAGTTTCTGTTGTCGAATACTTCTAACTTGATCTGGAAGCAGGTGTCTGTGGTCGACCACCAAGATGGGATGCTATGTCAAATGTGCAGTAGTATGTCACCTGGTCTGAGATTGGCAGATCATGAGTCTCTGATAGAACAGTAAGAAATCTTATCCATTCTGTGGGTTATTTTTACAGGAAAATTAAGATAAAGCTGAGGCTAACTGAAATTTGTCAACCAAAGAATGGAATTAGATCATCTTCAATGAAAAGTCAAAGATTCACAGTTGTTCATTTGTATGGCAAAGGAAAGACAAGGAGTTTCAAGACAAATACATGAAATGCAAAGTCAAATTTCCTCAGTCCATCTTGACTTGGACATATATCTGGAAAACTGTGTTCTCAATGTCACTGTGAATGCAGAAGTCTACATGGAGATGCTGGAAGGATTCCTCATCTCAAGAATTGAAGACAAACACATCATCTTTCAAGATGACAACACACTGTTCCACAGAGCAATGTCAGTTGCAGAAATCTTCATTTCAAGAAATTTGGATGGGATGGACTGGCTACCGAACAGTCTGGATTTAAATTCAATTGAAAATGTGTAGTGTTTATTGTGAATTATTGCCATCCTTTAAATGAGGACGGGCTAAAGAATGCTATTAATAATGCCTGGAGCAGAAACTGTAAAAAACTTGTGGGATCAATGCCAAAAAGAGTTAAATCTGTAATTACAACCAAAGGAGACCATACTGATTTTATGTTTGTGATTCCTAACTTGTTTGCAAGATAAAAATTTACTTAAGACAAACATAATTCGTTTTGCTTATTGGAATGTAGTTTTGTTACTGGATTTTCATAATAAAGCATACACAAAATTGCAGTAAGGATACAAGAGAATCATTAACATCAGTGGTGATTCTTCTTCCAAGGATATTACAATAAAAAATTCCTAATGAGAACTATCACTGAGAGCGAGTTTGCTGGCCAGATTGGCCATGTTAACATACATAGTAATTGCTATCCATCTGTTGAGTAATTTGAATTTAGGTGACAAATTAATAGAAAAATCAGCAACACTTTATTCATCTTATTCATTATACTTAGTAACATCTATCCATCCTATTCACAAAATATACTTTTCATTTTTCAGACCTTATAAAATTATACAAATGAAAAACATATGAGAATTGAGATGTCAAAATTCATAAATGTATACGTCGACAATAAAAACAAATGCTTTTATGAAGAAAAGACTACGGTGAATAAGATGATACACAAATCAGTAATTATAAAATTTTATATGAAAATAACATTATTTATTAAAAAATCCA